AAATAGAAAAAATGTCCTCGGGTGAGGATAAAAAATAAAAAAATTTAAAAGAAAGAAATGAAAAGATATTCTGTGTTCGTGGATTGAATGGCCACACTACCCAAAGCCATATACAGATTCTATGCAATCCCCGTCAAAATCTCAGTAGCATTTTTCAAAGAAATAGAACAAAAAATCATCAAATTTATATGGAACCACAAAAGACTCCAAATAGCCAAAACGGTCCTGAGAAAAAGAACAAGGCGGTAGATATCACACTCCCTGACTTCAAATTATACTACAAAGCTACAATAATCAAAACAATATGGTATTGACAGAAAAACACACACACAGACCAATGAAACAGAATTGAGAGCCCAGAAATAAACCCACATGTAATGGGCAACTAAGTTTTGACAAAGAAGCCAAAAACATACAATGGAGAAAAGAAATCTTCTTCAATAAATGGTGCTGGGAAAATTGGAAAGCCATATGCAAAAGAATGAAACTAGGCTGCTATTTGACAGCATATATAAAAGTGAACTCAAAATGGATTAATGATCTAAATATAAGACCGAAAACAATTAAATACCTAGTCGAAAACATAGGTACTTCCCTGGCCGGTTTGGCTCAGCGGTTGGAGTATCAGCCTGCGGTCCAGAGAGACCTGGGTTCGGTTTCAATTAAGGGCACATACCTTGCAGTTTGTCCCCGGACTGGATGGGTCGTGCAGGTGGCAACACTCGATGTGTCCCTTTCACGTCGATCTCTCTCTCTCTCTCTCTCTCTCTCTCTCCCTCCTTCCCTCCCTCCCTCCCTCCCTCCCTCCCACTCTATCTGAACAAAATATGGAACAATGTACTAGGGTGAGGATAAAAAAAAGAAAAAGAAAACATACGTACTAAATGTATGGACCTTGATCTCAGAGAGGATTTTATTAATTTGACCCCAAAGGCAAGGAAAGTAAAAGCAAAAATAAATGAATAGGACTATATCAAACTTAAACAGCTTCTGCACAGCAAAAGAAACCATCAACAAAACAAAGAGGTGGCCCGGCCAGTTTGGCTCAGCAGTTAGAGCGTTGGCCCACAGACCAGATTCACAGGTTTGATTCTGGTCAAGGGCGTGTACTTCAGTTGCAGTTCAATTGGGGCCGTGTAGGTGGCAACCACTTGATGTGTCTCTCTCACATCAATGTATGTTTCTCTCTCTCTCTCTCTCTCTCCCTCTCTCTCTCCCTCCCACTCTATCTGAAGATATATGCAGAAATGTCCTCAGGTGAGGATAAAAAAAAAAAATAGGTAGAGGACCTGAACAGATATTTTCCCCAAGAAGACAAATTGCCAACAGATACATGTAAAGATGCTCAACTTCACTAGCTATAAGGAAAATACACATTAAAACCACAATGAGGTACTACCTGTCAGAATGGCTATTATCAACAAGACAAGAAATAATAAGTGTTGGAGAGTATATAAAGAAAAAGAAATCCTCATATACTGTTGATAGAAATGTAAATTGGTACAACCACTATGAAAAACAGTATGGGGAAGTCCTCAAAAATTAAGAATGGAGCTACCGCCCTGGCCAGTTTGGCTCAGCAGTTGAGCGTCGGCCTGTGGACCAGAGAGTCTTGGGTTCCGTTCCCACTAGGGGCACGTACCACAAAAAAAAAAAAAGGAAGAATGGAGCTACCATATTACCCAGCAATCCCCTTTCTGGGTATCTACCCAAAAATTTGAAAAAATTCATTGGTAAAGATGTGTGTACCCCTTTGTTCACTGCCACATCATTCATAATAGCCAAGACATGGAAACAAGTGTCCTTCAGTGGATAACTGCATAAAGATGCGGTACATATATATAATGGACTACTACTCAGCCATAGGAAAAGATAAAATACTGCCACATGGATGATCTTCAGTGTACTGAGACGGCATAAGAACCTGGATCCAGGATCCCAAAGGACACTGGATAAGAAAAACTGCAGAGCTGGTACCACCATGCAGCCCCTCACCAAGATCCCAACGACACCAGATGGCCAGAAGAAACACCAAAAAAGCCCACCACAAACTACTCCCTGCTCAAAAAAACTGCAGAGTTGTATCTCCCTTCTAACAGCTTGCTTCTCTAACCCCCATGTGGAAAATTCCACTCTCCCCTCAAAAGTTCGTGTGAGCCCTCCCATCCTTCACCAATAAAAGCCTACCCCCACCAAAGCTTTTTGGAGAGCAGCCTTAAACCTTGTTTCTCTCAGGACTGTCTCTCTTGTGCTAAAGCAAAAGCTTAATAAAATCTGTCTGGCGATTTCTCTGGGGTTTCCTCTTGATTTCTGTCTTGCAGAACCCAAGAACCCTAATGCTGATAACAGTATAAGTCAGACAGAAAAGGAGAAGAATCATACGATTTCACTCATATGTGGAATATAAAACAGAAAGCAACAAATGAGTGAACAAAACAAATAAAAAATAGCACATTGACACAGACAACAGTATGGTGGTTAATAGAGGGGAATAGGTGAAGGTGGATATTAAAGAGGATAAATGGGGTCAAATATATGGTGATAAAGGGAGATTAAACTCTGGGCAATGAGCACACAATGCAATATACAGATGATGTATTATAATATTGTACACTTGAAACTTACATATTCTTATTAACCAATGTCATCCCAATAAATAAATAAAAAGAAGTAGAAATGAAAGAGAACAGATCTGTGTGTCATTTAAGAAGTAAAAACTAAAGGATGTGGTGAATGATTAGGTAAAAAAGATGAGAAAGAGGAAAGAGTTCAAAATAATTCTGAGCTTTATAACTTGAGAAAAATGAGTAATTCTAATATCGAATAAAACAGAAGATGATAAAGGAGAAAGAGAAGTTGGAAGGGAGGAAAAATGACTTAATTCACTGCCTTACTGGATGTGGCCTACAACAAGGTGGACATCTCCAATAAACAAATGGAAAAAGGAAACAAAGCAGAAACATTAAAATCTAGAGAACACTGTTCAATAAAGCCTTCTACAATTGATAGATGGATAAAGATGTGGTATATACATAAAATAGAATATTATTCAGCAATCAAAAAAGAATGAGCCCTAGCTGGTGTGGCTCAGTTGGTTGGCTCATCGTCCAGTGCACCAAAAGACGGTGGGTTTGATCCTGGATCAGGGCACATACCCAGGTTGTGAGCTGGATCTCTGGTCAGAGCATGTACAAGAAGCAACCAATCAATGTTTCTGTCTCACATCAATGTTTCCTTCTCTTGCTCTCTTGCTCTCCCTTCGTCTATCTAAAAGTCTTTTTTTTTTTTTTTTAAAGAATTTGTTAAAAAAAAAAAGAATGAAATTTTGCCATTTGAGACAACACTGATGGCCTTACAGCAGTGATTCTCAACCTGTGAGAAAGGGCAAATGACCCTTTCACAGGGGTCGCCTAAGATATAACAGTAACAAAATTACAGTTATGAAGTAGCAATGAAAATAATTTTATGGCTGGGGGTCACCACAACATGAGGAACTGTATTAAAGGGTCGTTGCATTAGGAAAGTTGAGAACCACTGCACGGCTTAAAGGGTATTATGCTAAGTGAAGTAAGTCAGAGAGAGACAAACACTGTATAATTTCACTCATATGTGAAATCTAAAAAAAGAAACAGACCTGTAGATATAGAGAAATTTCTAATGGTTGACAAAGGGAGGAGTATAGGGGGATGGGTATTAAAAAAAGATTTCTACAAGGAAGAATATATTCAATAGTTGTGCTGTCTAATACAGCAGACACTAGACTCATGTGGCTTTGATCACTTGAAATGTAACTAGTACAACAACAGAACTGATTTTTACTTTTATTTAACCTTAATTAATTTAAATAGCTACAGGTGGCTAATTGCCACCACAATGGACAGTGTACATGTAGAGATTTAACGAGCATTTACATCCCCTTTCTCTCACCTTCCAGACACATGAAAATTAAGATTTACATTTGATATAGATTATTCAGATAGTTTTAAAATATCTTGAGTTAATATATTACAAAGCTGAGAAACCATGAATCATCCTCACACAGTATGATTACTTTCTTTTAAATAACTATTAATTATATTTATAAATCAAAATGAAGCTGACCCCTGGCCATTTTGGCTCAGCAGTTAGAGCGTTGGCCTGCGATCCAGAGAGACCCAGGTTCGGTTCCCGCTAAGGGCACGTACCTCAGCTGCAGTTTGTCACCTGCCCTGGTTGGGTTGTGCGGGTGGCAGCCACTCGATGTGTGCCTTTCACGTCGATGTTTCTCTCTCCCCCCGCCCCCCCAACTCTATCTGAACAATAAATGGAAAATGTCCTAGGGTGAGGATTAAAAAAAAAAAAAAAAAAAAAAATGAAGCTAAGTAAAAATTGCATGGTCTGGCCCTGACCGGTTTTGCTCAGCGGTTAGAGCGCTGGCCTGCAGTCCAGAGAGACCTGGGTTCAGTTCCCACTAAGGACGCATACATCGGTTGCAGTTTGTCCCTGGCCCTGGTTGTTCGTGCGGGTGGCAGCCACTTGATGTGTCCCCTTCACGTCGATGTTTCACTCTCTCTCTCTCTTCCTCTCCCTCCCACTCTATCTGAACAAAAAATGTCCTCGGGTGAGGATAAAAAAATTTTTTAAAAGTTGCATGGTCTGGCAAGCTGGAATTAAGGTTTAGTCACAACACAAACCAGTCTTGGGTAATAAGGCCCAATTTGAGACCTAGAGCTCCACTCTTCAAAATACTGACCTCTTGACCTGGTCGGTTTGGCTCAGCGGTTAGAGCGTTAGCCTGCGGTCTGGAGAGACCCGGGTTCGGTTCCCGCTAAGGGCACATACCTCGGTTGCAGTCTGTCCCCAGCCCTGGATGGGCTGTGCGGGTGGCGGCCACTCGATGTGTCCCTTTCACATCAATGTTTCTCCCTCTCTCTTCCTCTCTCTCCCTCCCACTCTGTCTAAACAGAAAATGGAAAAATGTCCTCAGGTGAGGATTAAAAAATAAATAAATAAATACTGACCTCTCCATCACTATCAGATATCACAATGAATGCATCCTCCAGTTTACGCTTCCTCTTCACATTGACAGGACTTGCAGTTTCTGCATCTTTCTTCTCCAAGTTCTGAGCCTCAGAGGCTTCTTTAACTTTTTTCTTTTTCCGTGGCATCTTTCTGTCTGAAACACAAAGACAAATAATTAATTCATTCAAAGTATACGTTTTCTAGATGCTATTTTTAATTTAGTCATATAAAAGAAAAAAACCCGGGGGAGGGGGCAAGATGGCGGCGTGCCTGTCCTATGGACGAGTGAACCTGAACTTGCTGCGCAAGGCGGTGCGTCGGGAGCTGCGCAAATTCCTGGACAAGTGTGTAGGCAGCAAGGCAATAGTTTGGAATGAGTACCTCACAGGACCATTTGGCCTGATTGCACAGTATTCACTACTGAAGGAACATTAAGTGGAAAAAATGTTCACCCTTAAAGGAAGTCGTTTGCCAGCAGCTGATGTCAAGAATATTATTTTTTTTGTCAGACCCAGGCTAGAATTGATGGATATAATTGCTGAAAATGTGCTCAGTGAAGACAGACGTGGCCCAGTGAGAGATTTCCACATTTTGTTTGTGCCACGACGTAGCTTGTTGTGTGAACAGCGCTTGAAGGATCTGGGTGTTTTGGGCTCCTTCATTCACAGGGAGGAGTATAGCCTGGATCTCATTCCCTTTGATGGGGATCTCTTATCCCTGGAATCAGAGGGTGCCTTCAATGAGTGCTACCTGGACAGCGACCAGACCAGCCTCTACCACACAGCCAAGGGGCTGATGACCCTGCGGCCCTGTATGGGACAATCCCCCAGATCTTTGGAAAAGGAGAGTGTGCCCGACGAGTGGCCAATATGATGATCAGGATGAAGAGAGAGTTTACAGGCAGCCAGAATTCCATATTTCCTGTTTTCGATAATCTCGTTGCTGGATCGGAATGTGGATTTGTTAACACCCGCTGCCACGCAGCTTACGTACGAAGGACTCATTGATGAAATTTATGGCATTCAGAACAGTTATGTGAAGTTACCTCCAGAGAAGTTTGCACCCAAGAAACACGGCGATGGTGGTAAGGATCTTCCCATGGAGGCTAAGAAGCTGCAGCTGAACTCGCCAGAGGAGCTGTACCCCAAGATCAGAGATAAGAACTTCAACGCAGTGGGCTCCGTGCTCAGCAAGAAAGCCCAAATGATCTCTGCAGCGTTTGAGGAAAGGCACAATGCCAAGACGGTGGGGGAGATCAAGCAGTTCGTCTTCTAGCTGCCCCACATGCAGTCTGCAAGTGGCTCGGTGGCAAACCACACGGCGATCGCAGAGCTAATCAAAGATGTCACTACTTCTGAAGACTTCTTTGATAAGTTGACAGTGGAGCAGGAGTTTATGTCTGGGATAGACACTGATAAGGTCAACAATTACACTGAGGATTGTATTGCCCAAAAGCATCCTCTGATCAAGGTGTTAAGGCTCATTTGCCTCCAATCAGTGTGTAATAGTGGACTGAAACAAAAAGTTTTGGATTATTACAAAAAAGAAATTCTCCAGACATACGGCTATGAGCACATTTGAACCTTACACAACTTGGAGAAGGCTGGCCTGCTGAGACCACAGCCAGGGGCGGGGGTGGGGGGGGGGCGGGGGGCAGAAACAATTACCCAACAATCCAGGAAACCTTACACCTTTGGATGGATGATGTCAATGAACAAAATCCTTTGGACATATCCTATGTGTACAGCGGCTACGCCCCTCTCAGCGTGCGGCTGGCCCAGCTGCTTTCCCGGCCTGGCTGGCGGAACATCGAGGAAGTTCTCCGTATCCTCCCAGGGCCTCACTTTGAAGAACAGCAGCCGTTGCCCACAGGACTGCAAAAGAAACGTCAACCGGGAGAAAATCGAGTCACTCTGATATTTTTCCTCGGGGGTGTGACCTTCGCTGAAGTCGTTGCTCTTCACTTTCTCTCCCAGTTGGAAGATGAGGGTATGGAATATGTCATTGCCACCACGAAACTAATGAACGGGGCCACCTGAATACAGTCTCTGATGGAGAAACCTTTGTAGGCCATTGAGAGAGGACAAAACGAGCGAACTGCAGAATAAACTGTCCCTTTGGAGAAGTTGCCGGAGGGAAGTACAGCCCCACAGAGGAATAACAAACAGGAGTGCAGAACTGCCTTTGGGGTCAGCCTCTTACAATGTGCTGTTTTCTCCCCTCTGATTCTCTTTTGTATTCCTAACTTCTTGATGAAGGAAGAACAGAAGAAACAACCTGGGTAAAGAAATACCAGTTTTTAATATTCCAAGCTCAGGACCTTTGCTAGAGACCTCTGGAAATATATGAAGGATGGTGGGGATACGTCATACACACAGCCGCACAGATGGGGCCCATTCTTCAAATAAGGAAGCAAGGACCAAGCAGGTAAAAATGAAAATAAAAGTAGGAAGTGCAACCCCTAAAAAATAAAAAAATAAAAGAAAAAATCCATCTAATAAAAGTAAAACTAGATTTCTGAACTTCTCTACTACTTTAGTGAAATTTCAATAGGAATAATACAAGTTATCCTAGTTTCTTAAACACTGCCTTAGATAATTGGTTTTCTTGACCGAATATAATAATTTATCCAAAAGACTTTTTTTTTTAAATCCTCACCCGAGGATATTTTTCCATTTATGTTCAGATAGAGTAAGGGGGGGGGGGGGCAGGGGGGAGAGAGAGAGAAAAAAAAATATAGACATGAGAGAGACACATCAAATAGTTGCCTCCCATACAACCCCGACCAGGACTGGGGACCAAATCACAACCTAGGTACATGCACTTGACCAGAATTGAACCCACAACTCTGGTCTGTGGGCCGATACTCTAACCGCTGAGCCAAACCAGCCAGGGCCCAAAAGACTTTTTTAATGCCAATGTATGCCTCAACCTGATAAAAATACATCTCCAAAAACCCACAGCTAATATCATACTTAAAGATAAAAGACTAAATGCTTTCTCCTTAAGACAGGAACAAAACAAGAATGTCTTTTCATCATTTCTACTGAACGTTATACTGAAGATCCTAGGCAGGTCAATTAAGAAGAAATAAAAGACATCCAGCTTCCACTGGCTGGTTTGGCTCAGCGATTAGAGTGTCGGCCTGCAGACCAAAGAGTTGCAGGTTCAATTCTGGTCAAGGGCACAAACCTCGGTTGCGGTTTGTCCGGGCCCTGGTCAGGGTCATGCGGGAGAGAACCAGTTGATGTGTGTCTCTCACATCAATATTTCTCTCTCCCTCTCTCTCTCTCTTTTCCCCTCTCTCTCACTCTATCTGAAGATAAACAGAAAAGTATCCTGAGGATTTAAAGAAAATAATAATAATAAAAAGACATCCAGCCTGGCTGGTGCAGCCCAGTGGATGAGTGTTGAACCATGCACCAAGAGGTCCTAGATTCAATTCCCAGTCACGGCACATGCTAGTTACAGGCTCCATTCCCAATTGGAAGTGTGCAGGAGGCAACCAATCAATGTTTCTATCTTTCTCCCTCTCTCTTCCTCTCTCTCTAAAATCAATAAAAACATATTTAAAAATAAAATAAAAGATATCCAAATTGGAAAGGAAGAAAATATCATCATTTGCAGATGACATAATCTTGTAATTTTTAAAAATCCACAAAAATGCCCTAGACTCAGGGGTTGCCTTGGCTCAGGGGTTAAGAGTGTCGTCGACCCATGCATCAGGAGGCCATCAGTTCAATTCCCAGTCAGGGCACATGCCCAGGTTGTGGGCCTGGTCCCCAGTGGGGGGCATGCAGGAGGCAGCCAGTCGATGTTCTCTCTCATCGATGTTTCTCTCTCTCCCTCTCTCCTTCTCCCATTCTCTCTCTCTAAAATCAATAAAGGGAAAAAAAATTTTTTTAAATATTTGCAAACCATCTATGTAATAAAGTAATTGTATCCAAAATATATAAAGAACTCTTGCCCTAGCCAGTGTGCTTCAGTTGGCTGGAGCGTGTCCTATACAAAAAGGTGGCGGGTTCAATCCAATCAGGGCACATACACAGGTTGTGGGTTCACTCCCGACTCCAGTACAGGAGACAACTGATTGATGTTCCTCTCTTACATCAATGTCTCTTTCTCTTTCTCTCGTCCCCTTCCTCTCTCTAAAATCAACTTAAAAAAAAAAAAAACTCCTGCAACTCAATAGTAAAAACGCAAATCGACCCACATAAAAATGAGCAAAGAACATGAATAGACATTTCTCCAAAGAAGATATACAAATAGCCCATAAGCACATGAAAAGATGCTCAATATCATTAGGCATTAGGGAAATGCAAAGCCCACTATGATGGCTACAAAAACAACTGGAAAATAACAATTGCTGGCAAGGATATGTAGAAAACTAGAACCCTGGGCACACAGTTGATAGGAAAATAAAATGGTGCAGCTGCTGGAAGTGGAAAAAAAAATAAAGTAGTGATACAACCTACAACATGAATGAATTTTGGAAATGTATGTTAAGTGAATGAATCTGCTTTTTGTCTATAGATTTGCCCAAATGTTTATGATTCCAAAATAGGCAAATCTATAGACAAAAAGCAGATTAATATTACTAGGGGCTGGAAGAGAGGGAAATGTGGAATGAGTGCTTAATGGCTACAGGATTTCTTTTTGAGGTGATGATTATGTTCTGGAATTAGAAAGTGGTAATAGCTGCACATTTGAATGTACTGAAAGCCATCAAATCATACACTTCAAAGTGGTTTGAATGTTGGGTTTTATATTTTGTGAATTTTACCTAAATTAAAAAAAAAAAAAAACCTCCCCAGAGAATTACTGGCTTGGTCACTGATTTCAATAGAGCAACCTTAACTATACTACAAACTTCTCAAATAGTTTAAGACAGTTACTTCATCTTATTATCAAAAGGAATCTGGACAGCAGCCCTGGCTGGTTTGGCTCAGCAGTTAAGAGCGTCGGCCCACATACCAAAATGGTCACCAGTTCGATTCCCAGTCAAAGGCACATATCTGGGTTGCTGGTTCGATTCCCCACCCCTGGTCAGGGTCATGCAGGAGGCGACCAATCGATATCTCTCTCAAATCAATGTCTCTCTCTCCCACTCCCTCCCTTCCACTGTCTAAAAATTAATGAAAAAATAAAAAGGAATCTAGCCCTGGCCAGTCTGGCTCAGCAGTTAGAGCGTCAGCCTGCAGTCTGGAGAGACCCAGGTTCGGTTCCCGCTAAGGGCACGTACTTCGGTTGCAGTTTGTCCCCGGCCCTGGTTGGTCGTGCGGGTGGCAGCCACTCGATGTGCCCCTTTCACATCGATGTTTCTCTCTCTCTCTCCCTCCCACTCTATCTGTACAAAAAATGGAAAAATATCCTCGGGTGAGGATAAAAAAAATTAAAAAAAAAAAAAAAAAAGGAATCTATCTGTACAGATGTCTAGCTGCTGGCTCGGTTGATTGAAGCATCATTCTCAGGGAATATATGGGAGGCAACTGATCGATGCCTCTATCTCAAATGGATGTGAGGATTAAAAAAAAAGAACTCCTGCTCTGGTTGGTTTGGATTAGCACTTAGAGCATCGGCCTGCAGTGTGGGTTCGATTCCGGTCAAGGGCACATACCTTGGTTGCACATACCTTGGTTGCAGTTGGATCCCCAGCCCCGGTCAGGGTCCTCTGGGAGGCAACCAATCGATGTATCTCTCTCATATTAATGTTTCTTTCTTTCTTTCTCTCTCTCTCCCTCCCTCCCTGACTCTATCTGAAAATCAATGAAAAAATATCCTTGCGTAAGGATTAAAAATAATAATTCACAGTAGCACAGCAGTTCTCTAAATACCAAATTATAATAGAAAATTTACAAAAACACACAATACAAAACTTCATACAAATGGTGCCATATTTTTTCTTTTTTTAATCCTCACCCGAAGATATTTTTCTATTTATCTTCTAATAAAAAGTAAACATTAAATAAAAAAACACTGGAAGACTGGTTATGTTAATTTGGTTTTTTTGTTTATTTTTTTATAATGTGAATCTTTTATTACATGACATCTGTGGATATTCCTATATCTAATATTCCACCATTCTATGATTCTAGATAATGCTGTTAAAATTAATTATGATAAACTTCAGTCCAGGCATTAATGTAAATGAGTCTTCAATTTCAAAGCCAAGAAAAGATAAGATTCTTTCAAGACAGAAGGAAAAACCAGCACCCTTTACACAATAAATGTGGACAAATTTAGTACACAACAGGTCTGACTGGAGACAGCACTGGGCTGCAACATCTTCCTGTGTCATGTCTCCAATTCCTTCATTTTCTCTCATCAGCACCAGGCATTTTGGTCAAAAGAATCGTTCTGACTTAACCATGTTCATGTTTCTTTCTTTCTTTTCTTTTTTAACTTAATTAATTTATTTTTGTTACAGATGTTTCTCCTTTTTTCCCCACTGATAATCCCCTCCTTCACCCTCCCGGCCTGGTCCCCAGCTTGTTCTCCATGTCCATTGTTCATGCATACAGGCATATAACTTCTGTAATTTATCTCTCCCCGCCACCCCCTCGTCTGGGGATTGTCAGTCTGTACCCCGCTTCCACGTCTCTGGAACTACCCCATTCCTTAGAAAGTTATATTCCACAAATAAGTAAGATCATGTGATATTTGTCTTTCTCTGTAGGCTTGTTTCGCTTAGGATAATACTCTCCAGGTCCCTCCATGTCGTCTCAAAGGATAAGAGATCTTTCTTTCTTACAGCTGCATAGTACTTCATTGTCTACATCTACCACAGCTTTTTTATCCATTCGTCTACTGATGGACATTGGACTGTTTCCAGATCTTAGCTATTGTAAATAGTGCTGCTATGAACATGGGGGTACATATATTCTTCCTAATTGGTGTTTCAGGCTTCTTAGGGGATATTCCTAGAAGTGAGATCACTGGGTCAAATGGAAGTTCAATTTTTAATTTTTGAGGTAACACCATATTGTTTTCCATAGTGGCTGCACCAGTCTGCATGCCCACCAGCAGTGTACTAGAGTCCACTTTTCTCCACACCCTCACCAATGCTTGTTGTTTGATGATTTGTTGATAGTGGCCATTCTGACAGGTGTGAGGTGATACCTCATTGTTGTTTTAATTTGCATCTCTCTGATGATTAGTGATGTTGAGCATTTCTTCATATG